TTTTTTTTTTTTGAGAGGTTTTTGCTATAGGGTGCATGCGCTCACCAGACAGAGACATAGAAAGCGAGAAATCACCCCCCGGGGGGATGGCCACGCCGCAGTCCCTTCTCCTCCATTCTCCTCTGGGGATCTTGGGCACACAGGCACACGCGCCCGGTGTGAGTTTAAGCCACCGGGTCCGGGACTCGAACCGCGGTCGACTACGTGGGAGTCCAGTGACATAGCCATTACGCTAAATGCTGGTCCCCCAGAGCTACTTTTTGTAACTGAAGTACAGAGGATAAAAAATTTTACTTTTAACTATTTAGTTTTTTTAAGAAAGTTTTTTGATAGAGGGAGTGTGTGCTTCCCAGAGAGGGGGAAAGGGAAAGTGAGAAATCATCCCCTCACAGGGGATGACCATCCTGCAATATTTTCTCCTTCAGCCTTGGGATTTTGGCCATGCATGCACATGTACCCACTGTGATTTTCAAGCTGCCAGGTCCAGGACTCAAAACTGTGAAGCTGCTCATGTGGGAGCTAGCCACCTTAATCTGCTTGCTTTTAACTATTTAGTTTTCAGGTTTCTGCTAGGGCGTGTGTGCTCCTGGAGAGAGAGACAGACAGAGGAAAAGTGAAAAATCACCCACCCCAGGGGGGATGGTTACTCCACAGTCCCTTCTCTTCCAATTTCCTTTCAGCATTTTTGGCACACATGTACCCAGTGTGATTTTCAAGCTTCCGGGTCCAGGACTCAAACTGTGATTGACCAGGACTTAACCACCATGTCATCTGCTGGTCCCTAATTTTTTTTTTTTTTAAGAGCAAGTTGTGTTTGGGCTTCCCCCACCTTTTGGCATTTATAGAACATACTACCCCACATGTGAAATTAAGACCACTCCTTTTTGTGTGACAGTAGTAGTTTAGGGTTAATACTTTGTGTAAGAACAACTGCTTATAATAAAGTTGCCCCAACCACAATGAGTACGAGGATATTAGAATCGTCCTACCAAATGAATTCTGCCCTATTCTGCTGTTTTAATTTGGAGTGGATAAACTCTTGCTTGGTATAGCTATTTGTTTCAAATAAAAATATGTAGACAGGAAAAAAAAACCCCTCAGTTTCTATGAGAATTAAGTAAGAGTATGCACCTCACTTGTGTCACACAGTGCCTTGGGCATGGCAGTACTTCATAGATATGAATTATTGTTACTAGTTTGATTCAATCTGACATTTCTTTGGAGAGAGAGAATAACTACTTGTCTTTTGTCATTAGCATCTAACTTGATCACTAAATATCCTTGGACTGTGACGTGGATTTTTGTATTCTCTTAGAAATTACTACTGTAACACAATGTAATTGAACGGTGAGCTTTATTGAGAGCTTTCAAGCATCACAATGTGAAGTATTTTTCAGTTGAGTTTATCAAAATACTTCAGTTTTCCAGCTGGATCTGGGATTATCTGTTAAAATGAAACAAAAGATTGTTATTAAAAAAATTTTGGGGGGGGGACCAGCAGTTAGCGTAATGGCTATGTCACTGGACTCCCAC